AAATTTGTGGTGCATCGATTATTATGGCATTTTGAACTAATACAGGTACAAAAGTAAAATAAGAAAAATTCACAGGCCTGCAAAAAGCGTATGAATGAATAATGCACATAGATAATAGATAGATCAATCGAACGATGTTTTAGAGAGTATCAGAAAAGTTAAAATGTAAGTTACACAGAGATCGAGCTCCGCTGGTCGTGCAGCGGGCGCGCAGACGGAAATAGATGGCTAAAGTTTTCGAATGAAGTCGATAAGTGCGTCGATGAATTTTTAAAGTTTAGATTCATGGCTCAAAAAATGTATTATATACTCGTCACGTCACGCAGAGAAAACTAATTTGAAAAAATCGTCTAAAAAGTATTCGCCTACTTACATAGAATCGAATGTGGTTATCAGTAACACACCCATATATATGTATCGAGCTTTCACCGTCAAAGAAACGCACTTTAAACGTCTAGCAAATTTCGCGACACGTATACGAGCTACTTCTCTCATGATTTAATACGACTATATATGAGTTTGCGGTCTCTCTGACGCGAGTCTCAAACATATATTACACACACTCATACACATATGCACGCGTATACATATGTGTAATATGAAATCGAGGAGAAGTTCGAGGCGAGCTACTTATATATAGTAGTGGCATACAATGCGTTTTATGGTGAGGGTAGGCGTTCGGCTGCGCGTACACTTTGAATTTCTGACGTTTGACGCGTATAAGGAACATTCGTGAGATTTCAAATTATTATACTCGTAGTCGGAGATATTTTTAATGAAATGTAATTAAGAGGAAAAAGTAAAATTCAGAAGTTTTAAAAATCAAACCAAATTTTGTAAAAGTATATTCCAACCTTGCAACTTGTATACAGCATCGCGAGTAATTCAACTTCCGAATCCGAATTTCCAAAAAAATTTACTTTTTTTCTTACTCCCTTTATCTTTTTTGTTTTTCGTCGGCCAAAAAAAAAAAGAAGAGAGAAATTGAAGCCCTTTTTCGCAAGCTCATTCAGCGCGGGAATGTTTTTAAGATCGCGGTAGCAGTAGCATCAGCAAGTGTATATATGTGAAAAGGGGAGAGAGAGAGAGAGAGAAAGAAAAAAAAAGAGAGAGCGTCTCTTTCGAGTAGGTCGTCGTTGGCCACTAAACGAGAGCGGAAGGCTATATAGCCGGGTATACGGAAGTGCACTTTTACCACGTCGGATGCGAGTATAAACGTTTTCTTCGTGAGCTCGAATAGAGTCAGGCAGGCAGGCGGTATTCACCCCCGCACGCACGCACACTCATACACACACAGACGGGGTTAATTTTTTTTTTCGTTCACGATATAAATTTACGTCGAGAATTCTTCGGATGGCATCTGTCGCGTTGAGCTGTCTCTCTCTCTCTCTCTCTCACGGCGCGCGCCCGAGCCTGACGAAATTTCAGCTTATAAAAACGTAGAAAAACACGAGCTAGAGCGGCAGAGAAAAAATTACAATTATGTAAGTGTGCGAAATGAGATAAACGAGGAAAAAATTTCTCCGCCGCGGATAAAAGAACAAACAAGTTTGTCCCGGGGTAAAAGAGAGAGAGAAAGGGCGGCGAGGAGCTTTCGAGCATGACTGCTCGCGACTGCGAAGAAAATATCCGCGCTCGCAAGCTCGGCCGCATGGAACTGCTACTACTACTACCACTACTACTACAGAGAGCGCGAGAGACAGAGTATGAAATATGAGAAAATTCAAGAAAAAGTATTATCAGCCCGCGAGACTTTATTACTCGTAACGACTTTCGCGTTGTACTATGTGCGAGCTACACTAGCTCCCCGTGCTTTAAAAAAAAAATAATATCGCGCAGCGCCCGAGCTCGCGCACGGTATGAATACTCAAGTTTCATGTATAGTGATCGCGCTGTACGCGAATATTATACGGAGCCGATTTTCGTCAGAACCAATGTATAATCAATGCGCTCGTCGCGACAATCAGCGTATAATCTTTTTTTTTTTTTTTTGCTACCTTTGTAAGTTATAAAAAGGAGATCTCCGCAGTGGTTTTCGTTAATTTTACGATTACAACTTAACGCGCGCGTCCAATTTATTATTCGCTCTTATACTTGTGCTCACCGTATACTTATACCCACACACATACACATACACACGGAGAAAGAGAGAGAGAGAGAGAGAGAGAGAGAGAGAGAGAGAGATCTGTAATAGTCTAGTTTTTCCGCGTCAACTGCACTTAACCCATTTTACTTACTCCTCTTTCGCTTGTTCTTCTTCTACTTTTTCTGCTTCTTCTTCTTCTTCTTCTTCTTCTTCTCTTTTCGTCGTTGGATTCGTCGAAGTGAGCCAGAAAATAGGGAGGCTTGCCGCACACACACGCACACACACACACCCACACACAGTGAAGCTAACGACCCGCGCGCGGATTCGGTACACGATTACGAAGTATACACGTATATGCGAAACGTGTGCATCGTAGGGAGGCGCCGATTCATGCGCGCTTGCACACACACACACACACATATAATACAACGAGAGCAGATAGATGGAATAATGGCAGTATATAACGCAGCAGTCGAGGCAACAACGGCGCGATATATAGACGTATATAAGGCGATCGTTGCCGGAAATTGTTGCGCTGTTCGCCTCGCTTTTTTCCTACCCATTCTCTTCCTTTTCCTCCTCCTACTTTTTTTTATTCTTCTTTCACTGCACCGATCGCTACGTTAACCCTCTTTCGCGTGTATAAATTTCTGATTTTCCACGTACAACGGCATACGTTGTATTTTTTAAAGTCTATATTATATACGTACCATTTGGGTTTGTTGTGTATATCTTTTTTCCCCGCTCCAATTACCCTCGATAGCCTCTAAAATCCTGCAAAAAATCATCGTCGTCAGTCTTCTTCTTCTTCTGAACAAAATCGAATTAGCCCGTCAATGGCACAGGTAGAAGAAGTTAAGGCAATTTTCCTCTCTCTCTCTCTCTCTCTGCGAAAAGTCAATTATCTCGAGCTCCCCCCCGCGCCCGCGTGTTGTATAAGCTTGCCATATACAAAAGCTCCGCTCGCAACGAAAGAAGAGAGGAAGAGAAGCGAATAAAATTATTTACTCGATCTTTGCGCGCGTCGCAGGCACCGCCACGAGATTAGGCTCTTCTCAAATTGTATATGTATAGTAGGCCAACGATCTTTTATATACATAAACAAGCATGAAAGATTCTCTACCTAGATCGTCTTTGGTGAAACGGGGTGTGTAGTCTATATAGTCGACTGCATAGCTGCTGCGCTTAGTGGAGAAGCACAGGTAGGTATACCGTTTCCGGCTTGAATCAATTTCCCGTGGGAGTCACGTCGGAAACTCGTTATTTTCGCGAGAGAGAGAGAGAGAGAGAGAGCGTAGAAACGAGCTTATATAGCAGCAGCTACTACTGGAAGAGACAGAAGCTTGAGGTGAGAGAGAGAGAGGGAGAGAACTGCAAGAACGAATTATTACCATTAGTTCACTTGGCTGCTGCTGCTGTGTAGCTTTCTTGAAGCGAGTTCGAAATCGCGAAACTTGTTTAGCCAACATTATATATACTAGTATATGAGCTATAAAGCAAAATTTCGTTATATCGCCGTGTATATACACGGCAATTATTTATCTCGCGAGCGAGTCGATACATTTAACGTCGCTGGAATCTCATATAATATACGCTAACAGCTGCTACTGCGCTAATAATTTTTGAAATGTTCGCATGAGTGTGTGTGTGTTAAACGCCGCGTTAAAAATTTAATCGTAATTGCCGTTTGCGTGTGTGTGCGTTTAGCCGCGACCCGGCCACAAATCAAGCGCGCGTTTATACCCCATATGGCTTACCGCATCTCTCTCCAGCTCTCATTTTCCTCGTTCTCTCCCTTTCTTTTTTTTNGCGATATCGATAATTAATGTCAGCTAACCGTTTTTTTCTTTTTTTTTTTTTTTTTTTTTCATTAATCTTTTATTTTCAACGCTGCACTTGACACGCGTATGGGCGAGAGCTGCCTACGATATATTGCGACGAGTTTCGTTATTTCATCGATGTAATAATTGTTATTGCTGGGTCTGCGGCGTGTGCACGTCACAATTTTACAAAGTAGCATTTTACGCGCTCGTGATTTCGAGTCGAGGAATTTTCATTCATGGAAAAAAAATCGGAGCATATACGATATGAGCTCGATAAAAAAGGCAGAGAGAAGGAGACACTCACGAGCGCTTGGCGCGCGTAGCAACGAAGAGAAGCAAAAAGCCATAAAACGTTTATATACGCGTCTATATATGGTGCAGTGTGGCAGTAGTAGTGGTATATACGATGTCGCCGCGTAACGCGAAAGGAACATAAGGAACGCGTACATGCGCGTGCCGAAAAAAGCTCGCGCGCCCTTTTTCTCTAATCGATATAACGATAGCAGTCCGTATATGTGTTCGCCAAAAAAAAAAAAAAAACTAGATCGCGCGTGAGCAGCTGCACCGGTTTCGCGTACGATATCTCGAAGAAGATGCTCTATATAATTTTACGAGTGTCTGCGCGACGAGATTTTTTTCTCCACCCCTTTTCTCTATCGTAAACACTTTGTGTCTGTGTGTCTGCGACGACGACGACGAAATCATTGAAACTCGAGTCGTCACACGTTGCGGCGTCGCTTCGAACGTCGACTCGGTCTACTGTCGCCGTAGCGAATTATGTATATATATACAGCAATCGCGACTATATCGCGGCGTGCAGCGGCACAGGACGATAAGGTACGTACGTACACGCGTGTGTTACGGCCCCATTCACACGCGCAAGCGAGCGAGCCGAGATAAGCGAGAGATAAGCGCGGCGCAAAATTTACTCGTCGCACGTGCGTATGCGCGTGTATGCAGCTGCTGCCACCACTATTAAATCGTTATTATTATTATTGTTATTATTATTATTGGCTCAATTTTTTTTATATTTATATTCGATTATCGTCCCTGCTGCTGCTGCTGCTGCTATGCTGCCCACTGCTCCACAGCTGATTCTGCACGAGCGACGCCTCTCCACGGCGGCCTCGAGGACGATGGCCGCCATGTCGCTGGGCTTCATCGTGATGGTGACCCCGTGGACGATACAGGAGGTCGTCGCGGCCTGCACCGGCACCAAGCCACCGGCCTTCCTCGACTTCATCGCCACCTGGCTGGCGCTGTCCAACAGCTTCTGGAATCCCTTCCTCTACTGGCTGCTCAACAATCACTTTCGACGCATATCCAGGGAGATACTTTACACGAAGGTGAGAGAGAGAGACGTTACGTATTGCCGTAATTTATGTTAAATTGTACGTGGCGCGCGAGATAGGTATATTAAGTGTTTTTGTATATCACGGGGGTCTGTACAAAGAAAAGGGAGAAATATCGTCTCGTACTCGTGCGCGGTCGTTTTGGAAAGTGTTTTCTCCATTTTTGTGCGCCTCGTTCGAATTTACACCTCATGAATTTTCTTCGTACCCGTCGGAAGACCAAAGAGAAAACACAAACTGAGAGCGCGAAAGTGAGTCGGGTATACCGTTGCAACGTATATCGAGCTCTCGAGCGCATTATAAATCTCTGATTGTGCGAAGATACCTGCATAAGCAAGGATCGTGAATTCATTCGCGCATAATAAACTTGAACATAGACTTGTGCCTCTCTATAAACGGGACACGTTCAAGGGGACCGACTGGTGTTTCGAGCTGGAATTACAAAAAAAAATATAGCCATTTGAGTCGAAATAGTTGAAATTTTCTTTTTATTTAAGCTTATAAGACGATTCCATGCGAACACGACTATAGGAATAATCGTAGCAACCTCTTAATTTAATTACAAAGTTTGAAGATGATTGATTCATTATTCTTAAGAAATGTGAGGACAAAATAATTTTTTACTAAATACCGACTGAGTGAATGTTTTTGGCCCTTAAGATGAAGATGGTACTTTTCTGAAGATTTTGAGACGCTTTCGATCAAAATTTAATTACAAATTTTTGTATTATGAAAAAATTAACATAATTTGTATTTTTGAGTTTGCGTAGGAGTTTTTTGATTATTCATTTTTGGGGACTAAACGCTACCGCAGCCCCTCTGTGCTTCCAAAGTATTTTCTCATAAGAATTGAGTCAGATCAGTAAATTAATAATTAAATTGTAATGACTTTTTATTAAAAGACTTATTGATGTAATTTCTCATGATTTATAGAAAAGAAAAAAAATTATTTCAATAGAATTATTATATAATTATTATTACTATTTCGAATCGAGCGCGTCGTCGTATGCTGCTTTTGAGAATCTGTAACGCAGGTGACTGCGCGAGTCAGCTGTGGGGCTTTTTTACAGTCGTCAGTGACGGTCAAAAATCGACCAGCTGATTTGCCTGGAGGCAAATCCATATACTTTACATGTTAAAGTTCGTTGGTAAAAGTACTTGTAATTAGTTTACCATGCAGTAAAAAAATAAACAAAAAATATCTGGAGAAAGCAGAAATCCTTGTGTATTGAAATATCAAAGCGGTTTTTAGTTTTTCCTCGGTAACTTCACAGAATAAAATTTCCCTGCTTGAGAGTTTGTATTGCAACGTAAAAAACCACTTTTAATAACTATTTTATTAGAGTTTATTGACAATATCACAGACAAAAAAGCCGAAATTTCAATATTTTTTTATTTACAAACTAAAGAATTTAACTAAAAACCGCTTTGATATTTCATTACACAAGGATTTCTGCTTTCTCCAGATATTTTTTGTTTATTTTCTAACTGCACGGTAAACTACAACTACTTTTACCAACCAACTTTAACATGTAAAGTATACGGGCGGTCGCTTTGTTTTGCCTCCAGGCAAATCAACTGGTCGATTTGTGACCGTCCCTTACGACTGTGAAAAAGCTGTTTCTTCTAATTTATCGATCGATTGTAAATCTTGCAATACGAACATTTAGAGCGAATACACAAGTTTTTGATCATTAGAGAAAAATGCAATTTTAGTATCTCTGTTATAACTTGTCGAAAACTAAAACATTAACACAAATTTATCGAATAGAAAAGATGGCAATACCGTATCGATCGATAAAGTAGAACATGCAGCTGACTTGTGCAGCAGTCGCCTGTGTCACAACGCTGGCTGCCGCGCGCGACGCTAGTTATTCAGTTATCGAGTTTCTGACCACTCTTCGAACACATGTCACGTCCAAACTCAAAAATTCTCCGCAGTGTTAGTTCAAGCGTGGAGTGAGGTGAACATACGAGAAAAAGATCGACCGACGCACGTGATTCTTGAAAGTGAATAAAAAGCTACAAGGTGAGTGTACCAAAAAGAAGTTTTATTCTTTATTAATTTTGAAATGATAATTTGGATTCAACCATATTTAAACTGATACGTGGTCATTAGATTGAAATTAAATTATGTATGTTGAAAGTGAGTTAAAATAAATTTCCACGTGTTAATCATACAAATCTGACTTAAAGAGGTTGGGTTCTCATTCAAAATGTAGCTAAGTTTTTAAACCCATTTATTTGCTTTGAAACTTTATATTATAAATGTTAATATCAAAATACAACTTTTCAACGTGAAATTTTTTTTAAACAACATAAAAAATTGTTTGGCATTCAATATGGTTTCTAATGAGAAATCATGATTTTTCGACTTTAAATGAGCGTAAACATAATGTAAAAACAAAGTCAAATAAAATAAAAAATATACAAACGTACAGGAAATTTAATAACAAATAATTACAAGTAAAAAAATTTCATTTACATTTTAGTTATCGAGAAATAAATTGTTATGTGTAAAAATTCGTGGGTCATTTGGGCATACCCTAACCAACAAATGAGCTAGAACAAAAATATGTTTATTCGATTTCGATCCCAATGACATATAGAATATTGCCTTACGCCTAAAACATTGAAAAAAACATAAAAATAACATAATTATTAATAATAGCTATTGAGGACTGAACGATACCGTCAAGCCATGTAGCGGCGAAATTTTGTACTAGCGTATTAGGGCAATTTTGTTAAAAAGTTGATGAACAAGTGTTGATAAACAACACTTCACGTCAAATATCCGAGTGCCGCACAGCGCGGCATTATTTAGTCGAATCGCTGAATTTGTAACTCGCTGTAAAAGTACCCAAATGGGCCTAGAAGAAAAAAGTTACGCATCATTTCGATGAAAAATTGCCTCAGCTATTCGACGGTAAGCTCAGATTTTCCGAAAATTTCCGCTTTGCCCGGAAAAATGGACGGAAAAACTTTAAAGTAAATTTTCTCAGGTTTATCAACACTTGTTTATCAACTTTTTAATAGGATCAAAATAGCTAAATTCATATTTAGATATGACGTATCAATTAAAAATGATAAATGTACAAAATTCATTGTGTAACATTTATTATTTTACACATTCATAGTATTTCCCATGTTATTTGGTCAAATTTGCCCTAATAAGCTAGTACAAAATTTAGCCGCTACATAGCGTGACGGTATCGTTCAGTCTTCAATAATTGTGTGCCGGCAAATGAAAAAAAACCTATAATTTTGTATTATTTCGAAGTTGGTAGTTCTGATTTTTTGTCACGGTAAACATTAGACTGTCCGTTATTTCCCGAATTGCTCCAATCCTCGCTCTCACCCCTTGAAAGTTCATCATTTGGCTCACAATGAAAGAAAATCACTGTCCGACCGCGATTAATTAACTCTAGATAGTGCCACACGCGTCAGCTTTTTTCCCATTTAAATAACATGGGAAAATTTAAAAAAAATGTAAATTGAAGTTTTAAACCACTTAAAATCGCTAAACCTTGGGTTTAGCGACGGTTTTCACTTCCTGGTACACCCATAATGAGTAACCAATACTTACGGGAACCCTCCGAAAAGAATTTTGGATTTTGCACACACGATATACTCAAAAAATGAAGAAAAACAGCATGTTGGCGTGGTTTTTCGATATTTTACAGCAAAACTAAGCATGAACGATCATTTTAAATATATTCACGTCAAAGTTGAGATCAAGACCTTTAATTTGAGGGTAATAAAACCTATTTACGTTCATTAGAACCAAAGTTACAGGCGTTTGAAGTTTCATTGAAAAATCAGGTATCGATTCTCGTCCGGCCGCCCAAACGCGCGACTCGCGGCTCGCTGTAATCGCAACTCGTACAAATGACCATGTAATTAAACTAGAAAAATAATTAAAAATATGATTTTTATGCGTTTTTTTCTCAGCTTTCACGTGGTGTAGTCGGATTTTTCGATAATTTTCATTTTCGTACGAAAAAATGGACTTGAACATTTATTTCCTATTTTTCCTAGTGAACGAGTAAATTATCGAAAAATCCGACTACACCACGTGAAAGCTGAGAAAAAAACGCATAAAAATCATATTTTTAATTATTTTTCTAGTTTAATTACATGGTCATTTGTACGAGTTGCGATTACAGCGAGCCGCGAGTCGCGCGTTTGGGCGGCCGGACGAGAATCGATACCTGATTTTTCAATGAAACTTCAAACGCCTGTAACTTTGGTTCTAATGAACGTAAATAGGTTTTATTACCCTCAAATTAAAGGTCTTGATCTCAACTTTGACGTGAATATATTTAAAATGATCGTTCATGCTTAGTTTTGCTGTAAAATATCGAAAAACCACGCCAACATGCTGTTTTTCTTCATTTTTTGAGTATATCGTGTGTGCAAAATCCAAAATTCTTTTCGGAGGGTTCCCGTAAGTATTGGTTACTCATTATGGGTGTACCAGGAAGTGAAAACCGTCGCTAAACCCAAGGTTTAGCGATTTTAAGTGGTTTAAAACTTCAATTTACATTTTTTTTAAATTTTCCCATGTTATTTAAATGGGAAAAAAGCTGACGCGTGTGGCACTATCTAGAGTTAATTAATCGCGATCGGACAGTGATTTTCTTTCATTGTGAGCCAAATGATGAACTTTCAAGGGGTGAGAGCGAGGATTGGAGCAATTCGGGAAATAACGGACAGTCTAGTAAACATAAAAGCCCCTCACGTGTCACTGCGTCCGCCTGGAAACCCCCTAACTATTGATGGAAATGAAATTAATTTTACATTTATAAAATATTTCAAAGACTTTAACAATAATTTTGAACCATAATTTCATCGTATGGAAAAAATCAAATTCGAATTGCAAGTCTAAAGTAATTTTTTAAACGAATATTTTTTTGTAGGAATACTAACCAGCGAATCATCAGTGCATTTATACCTCGCTGTATTTCCCCGTAAGTGTGTACAAATATGGCAGA